GGGAGGGCGCGAGCAAGCCAGCAGGCCTGGGACTTGAACTGTGGTTCAGCACCCTTAAGCACCACGCCACCTGCTGCCCCCCCTTTTTTTTTAATTCTTTTTTTATTTTTTTGAGAGGTTTTTGCTATAGGGCGTGTGCACTCGCCAGCCAGACAGAAAGAGACAGAGAGACAGAAAGCAAGAAATCACCCCCAGGGGGGATGGCCATGCCACAATCCCTTCTCCTCCATTCTCCTCTCGGGATCTTGGGAACGCGCACACAGGCGCCCGGCGTGAGTTTTAAGCCACCGGGTCCGGGACACGAACCGTGGTCGACTACGTGGGAGTCCAGCGACATAGCCATTACACTAACTGCTGCTCTCTCTGCTGGCCCCTTTTATCTGCAACATTTTCCACCCTCTAGGTCCTCTGCATTTTGCTATATGTTATTTGTCACCTGCCTGCAGAATGGGAGCTTCTGTGATGGACAGGTGGCATGGTGGTTAAGGTGTTGGACTCCCACATGGCTGACTGCAGCTTAAGTCTCAGACAGACCTAGTGGCTTGCTTTCTCACCCCCCACCCCCGTCACATTTAAAAAAATAAAATAAATATATAATTCTTAAAAAAAGAGAGAGAGAGAGAAGAACGAGAGTGCCACGAAGCAGGAGCATTGTCAGTTTTGTTTCCTTCTTTGTCAATCGCCAGCGCTTCGAACAGTGCCTGCACATGGCTGGCGCGGGGCCAATGTTCGGAAATTCCTGCAGTGCACGAGGTGGGTACGACTGGGAGAGGCCAGGAGGCGGGGTGAGGCTGTCTCCCCGCAGGCCAGCGGGTGGATCGCTCTGTCATCAGGGCTGGGGATGTAGCTGAACAGCTTGACCTCAAGACTCCCATACTTTTTTCCTGGACCTTCTCCGCGAGGCTCGGCGGGGGCAGGACGCGTCCGAAGCGGCCGGCTGGGCGTGCAGGGCGGCTCTGGGGCTGCGTGTCCCGCCAGAGGCGTAGACCGAAAATGCCGGCACACGCAGGAGCCGGCTGGCAGGCAAGATCCGGGCACCGCACGCAAACCTGGCCCTGCGCACGCCCGGACCAACTCAATCACGCACCCGTGCCGCTTCGCAGGCTCTGCTCCTCCGCCCTCACCCCACGCCCTCCGAGAGCCCGCCCCCCCGTCGCGTGACTGCCCTGGGACCCGTGCCCGCCGGGGAGTCTGGAGGCTGGGTGGCCGAGCGGGCCTCCGGGCCATTCTCACGCAACTCCCAACTCCCGGGCACCCGCCCCTGGCCAGGTGGGGCAGGGATGGGCCACCTGACCTCTGCCCCCGGAGGGATGGAGCAGGCGCAGGCACGTTAGTCTAGCCGGGGGAACCTCCGCGTTCGTTCGGCGCCCCCTTCGCGGTCCCTGGACTCCACCCTCTAGCCCTTGGTGCGGACCCGCTGCTGACCGCGATGGCCCGTCAATCAAAGCGGTAGCACCCCGGAACCCAGAGGGCACGTGCGGGGCGGTGGGTTCCGCGGCAGGTCCCCCGCTGCAGAACCGCCAGGGTGACCCCAGGGGCTGCGCCGAGCTGCTAGCGAGCGCTCAGCAGCACCGCCCGTGAGTTCTCGTGCCTCAGTCCAGGAGCCCGAGCTTGTACGAGCCAGGTGGCTCGAAGGGACAGAGCCAGCCCCGGGGGTGGGGGGACAGGGCCAGCTCAGCGGCGCCTCTGGCCTTCCGGCCCGGTGACCTTGGGACTGGGGTCACCGCGCTTCTCACGCGAGCCGGGACTCAATAACCCGGGGAGGGGCCCCCCCGCCGCTGCCTGGCCCCTGCCTGGCCCCGGTTGGCCAGTGGTGGGGGCAGGCGCTCTCCCTCGCAGGGTTCGGGTGGGTATGTGTGCGGGCAAATACTGGCGAGGAGTCCCAGAGCCCCGTGCCCCGGGATGGAACCCCCAGACCCTCTCTTCGGGCTCTCCTGGGACTTTTCCGTCAAATCCCTGCCTCGCCAGGGCTTTGCGCTGCCTTGGAATTGGGGGTCCCAGGTGTCCCCAGCCCTCACCCCTTTACGTGCCAACACGTAGATGCTATGTCCCTACGATGTCCCTAAAGTGCGTTCTTGCTCGACCTCCCCCCCACCTCTTCCCCAGGAACAACCAGCCCCCCGCGGCCCCTCCCTCAGTCCACCTCCACCCCCCGGGAAGGAGGCGTGGCCACCCGTGGTCTATAAAGGTGGCGGTACCTTCACTGTCACCCTGAAGGTGACAGTTTATTGGAGCCTTCCTTGGTCATCCTGGGGTCACCCTTCCAGCGCAGCTCCAACCTCCTCACAGCCTCAGGTGAGTGTTGGGGGCCTCGTGGCTTGCCCCTTCCTTGCCGAGGAGGGGAAAATATTGATGCCTTTAGATCTCTAGGTGGCCTCTGGTCTAGCACCTCCAAAGCAGGAGGGCTGAGTGCCCAGGCAGCCCAGCCCCCTAGTGAGGAAACTGGGGCCCGGGAAGAGCAGGACTCGCCAAGGTTGCAGAGCCAGCACCAGACTTCCAGGACCCAGGCTCCAGCTCCATACCGCACCGGCCCTCTGAGGACACGCCCCAGAGGGGAGTTGGGAGCATGTGTGATGCCTGGGGCTTCGTGCTGGGGGACAGGGGGACCGGGGGTGGTGGGTGGTGCAGGCTGGGTAAGAGCCCTTCCCTGTCTAAGCTATCCTGGTGGCTTCTGCCCTACCAAGGGATGACTTATCAGAGCTGAGATGTCCCGGCCCAGACAGCACAGGCTGACCTGGGCACTACCGAGGGCCTTCCCGGTCCTGCTGACTTTCTCCTCTGCTAGGAAGCAGTGTGCGTGACAGCCAGAGGCAGGGAGCTGGGAACACCAGACCTTGGGGTACCCACTGAGTGAAAGGGACACCAAAGCACACCAAGGCCTGGCAGTGTCCCCAGTTCAGAGAGCCAAGTGTCTGGGTTCCCGGTACCTGGGGACTCAGGTGTTGCCCTGCAGGGCGCTGTGGTACCTGAGGTGGGAACCATCCATCTCCCTGTTCCTGTGGTCTAGCACCTCCAAAAAAAGAGGGCAGGTGTCTTTTGTGACCAAGCAGCCCAGCCCCTTAGCGGGGAAACTGGGACCAGGGGAAAAGCAGGACTTAACCAAGGTCCCACAGATAAGGCTGTGAGGCTCTAGGGAGCTCCAGGGTGGGTCTGGGTCTGCCCTGCGCCCAGTGGGGATCCCTGAATTGAGAGCTCTCTTAGGTAATGTACTTGGAGCCCAGCCCTGAAATGACCAGTCAGTCCAAGGTCCCTTGGCCTGGAACTCGGGATCCTTGTCCTTCAGGCCAGGGCACCAGAGTACCTGGGCACAGCTGATGCTTTGGAGAATGTGCTTGCTGGATTTGCACACCTTTTCTGGACAAGACTGCAGAGAGTCAGCTCAGCTCCTGCTGTGATCAATGCAGACCCGTTCCTGACTTCCTTACTCCAGTCCAGAGTTTTCTTACAGCCCAGCCTAGTGGGAATGCGATTCCCTGCTCTCTGGTGACCGCCAAAAGGAGGCCCAGAGATTCATTCACAGGAATTGAGTCTGTAGAAAATCCTGGCCTGGATTTTGGAAGCTGGGAGCTCAAGCCCGCTGGCCTCCCGCTGCTTGTACACTGTCAGTGAACTCTGAGATGGGACTAACAGCAATGCAACTTGGGCAGTGGCCTTCCTGGTGCCCGGTCCCAGGTCTGACGGGATTGTTTAGGACCTGGGATCAGGCAGTAGAGAACTGAGGGTTCTTGGTAGGAAGGCACTTGTGACAGTAGCTATAAACTTGCGGAAAATTTTCTCTTAAGCCGCGGAGTCCTGGCTCTGTCACAGGTCGCTGGGTGACTTTGGGCAAGTCAGGGACCCTCTGGAGGTCGATTTCCCCAAATGTCAAATGAGGCCAAAGGATCAGGTGAGCCTCATTTCAGATAGAGTGGGTGCTGGTTGGGACTCAAGGTGATACATATTAATTATGTATTTATTTGGGGGCTGGCAAGTGATAATAGTGGTTAAGGCACTGGATTCCCAGTTGGCCAACTACAGTTTGAGTCCTGGACCCTCGCCTGTAGCTTGAAACTCACACTGGGCGCATGTGCGTCTGTGCCCAAAATCCCGAGAAGGGAGAAGGGATGGAGGCCTGGCTATACCCCTGGGGGTGATTTCTTTCATTCTCTTTCTCCATCTCCGTCTCTCTAGTGAGCACATGTGCCCTGTAGCAAAAATGTCTTTAAAAATGTTATGTATTTATTTGAATGTGTTAGGGAAAACTCCGAAGCTGTATTTTCACACATTGTTTAGAATGATGTTCATGGGTGGGCCTAAAGTTGGTTTTAGGAAAATGTGAAGTAAATCACAGCCGGCATTGGATGACGGTTTTACACTGGCACAGCTCAGAGAAGGTTCTGGAGTCAGGCAACTTGGGTTGCGAGTCTACATCTAACGCTTCTTTCTACGTGACCTTGGGCAAGTTCTGCCCCCTCTCCGAGTCTGGGCTTGTGGTCAGGACTGAGGGGAATGACTGTGAAACTCCTGGAATGCAGTGGTTCCTCCATGAACAGCTCTGCCCTGCCTTCGCCTCCCTTTCATGCCCAGTGAGAAGCTCTGGGTGAGAGGGTCCCCCTTTCCTCTGCCAGCCCAGCGAGCTACACTGTAGGATGTGGGCCCCATCTGATGGCTTGAATTTTCCTTCCTCCAGGTCTCTGCACCTCAGGGAGCCCTAAACTCAGCATGCTTTCTGTGTTTGGACTCCCACTGTCCCTCTCGGCCACGGAGCTCCTCTTGGCCTCCGCCATCTTCTGCCTGGTGTTCTGGGTGGTCAGGGCCTCGAGGCCTCAGGTCCCCAAGGGCATGAAGAGTCCCCCGGGGCCGTGGGGCTGGCCCCTGGTCGGGCACATGCTGTCCCTGGGGAAGAGTCCGCACCTGGCGCTGGCGAAGCTGAGCCGTAGCTACGGCGACGTGCTGCAGATCCGCCTGGGCTCTACGCCCGTGCTGGTGCTGAGTGGCCTGGACACCATCCGGCAGGCCCTGGTGCGGCAGGGCGACGACTTCAAGGGTCGGCCTGACCTCCACAGCTTCACGCTCATCTCTAATGGCCAGAGCATGACCTTCAACCCCGACTCGGGGCCCGTGTGGGCTGCCCGCCGGCGCCTGGCCCAGAACGCCCTGAAGAGTTTTTCCATGGCCTCCGATCCGGCGTCCTCGTCTTCCTACCTGGAGGAGCACGTGAACAAGGAGGCCGAGTACCTGATCAGCAAGTTCCAGGAGCTGATGGCGGGGGCTGGGCGCTTCGACCCCTACAGATACGTGGTGGTGTCTGTGGCCAACGTCATCTGTGCCATGTGCTTCGGGAAGCGCTATGACCATGACCACCAGGAGCTGCTCAGCCTCATTGACCTCAGCAATGAGTTTGGGGAGGTGACTGCCTCCGGAAACCCATCTGACTTCTTCCCCATCCTGCGCTACCTGCCCAACCCGACCCTGGCCGCCTTCAAAAGCCTGAACGAGAAGTTCTTCAGCTTCACCCAGAAGCTGGTCCAGGAGCACTATGCAACCTTCGCAAAGGTGTGGGCAGAGGCGGGCGGGTGGCCAGCAGGTCGGTGGTGCTCACCTCCCAGCCTCATGGCAGAAAAAGGTTACAAAGATTAAAGAGTACACCGAGTGGGGCCAAGTCTATGCCCTAGTGGTTAAGGGAGCCAGATTCTACATGGCTAATTGTGCGGTTCAAATCCCAGAGCTGGTGACTTGAAAAACATGCTGTGTGTGTGTGTATGTATGTGTGTCCATGCCCATGGTCCTGACAGGATGGAGAAATAGAGAAGGGGTTACACGGTGACCACACCCCACTGGGGAGTGCTCTCCCTCCCCCCTGCCTCTCTGTCTCTGGTGAGCGCATGTGCCCTCTGGGGTGGGGGAGAGGTTTAAAAAAGAGTGAGCCACCCAGATGGTGCAGTGAACAAGGTGTCTGGATCCCCATGGCCGACTGTGTGGCTTGAGTCCTGGACTCAGTGACCTGAAAAATATACTGGGCCTGTGTGTGCATCTGCTCAGCATTCTAAGAGGAGAATGGAGGAGAAAGGGTTGCAGTGTGGCCATCCCCCCTGGGGGTGCTTTCGCTATTTCTCTTTCTCTCTCGCTATTTCTCTTTCTCTCTCGCTAGTGCATGTGCCCTATCACAAATTTTTAAAAAAGCACACCAGGTAAGGACAGTACCAGATTGCTTGTCAGGTGTCCTGTGAGCTGGGGGGCCAGTCGTCTAAGGTAGGAAAGAGCCTGGAGAGGCAGTGAGAAGCTGGGAGAGCAGGCTCAGGGGTGTCTGTTCTAGACAAGCTGCGGGATAGGATGTCTGGACGCACCAGGCCTGGACGGAGCAGGAGTCTGGTTTGGAATCTTGCTCACCTGTGGGCCTCCCCTGCGCAGGGCCACGTCCGGGACATCACAGACAGCCTGATCGAGCACTGTCAGGACAAGAAGCTGGACGAGAATGCCAACATCCAGCTGTCAGACGAGAAGATCGTTAACATTGTCTTGGACCTCTTTGGAGCTGGTAAGAGCGCCCCCACCACGCTCTCCCATGCCCAGCGCCCTGGCCCACCATCAGCTCACTTTCCCTCTGTTCTGCCCTGTCCAGGGTTTGACACCGTCACTACTGCCATCTCTTGGAGCCTCATGTACATGGTGACGAACCCCGGGGTACAGAGAAAGATCCAGGAGGAGCTGGGTAGGTGTGGGATCCCTCCAGAGGGCACAAGGCAGGCGTCCAGCCAAGGTCTGGGCAGTCTCTCAGTCTGGCCCGTCCTTGTGTTCTGCAGACACGGTGGTCGGCAGGGCGCGGCGGCCCCGGCTGTCCGACAGACCCCAGCTGCCGTACATGGAGGCCTTCATCCTGGAGACGTTCCGGCACTCCTCCTTCGTCCCCTTCACCATCCCCCACAGGTGAGGCTCCTCAGATCCACGGCTCTCAGCCCATGTGCCTGGTTCGGGCTAGAGGGAGGGACATGGCATGGGGTCAGGGGGACCTCTCTGGGGCCATGAGCCTGATCGGGCTTCCTCCCTCTCCAGCACCACGAGAGACACAAATCTGAATGGCTTTTACGTCCCCAAGGGGTGTTGTGTTTTTGTGAACCAGTGGCAGGTCAACCACGATCCGTAAGTTGAGGGGGCAGGAGAACCCCTGGGGTGGCTGGGCTCTCTCCTCCTCCTGTGGGCCACTTGCTAATCCCCTACCTGGCCTTTGGAGCTGGGGCTCAACCTATTCCAAGGCCCCACACCACTGCTTCAGCTCCTTGTTTTGGTTACAGGAAGCTATGGGGTGACCCCTCCCAGTTCCGGCCCGAACGGTTTCTCACCCCTGAGGGCGGCCTGGACAAGGAGCTGAGTGAGAAGGTGCTCCTCTTCGGCATGGGCAAGCGGAAGTGCATCGGGGAGACGATCGCCCGCCTGGAGGTCTTCCTCTTCCTGGCCATCCTGCTGCAGCAGGTGGAGTTCAGCGTGCCGCCGGGCGTGGAGGTGGACATGACTCCCCTGTATGGGCTGACCATGAAGCACCCCCGCTGTGAGCACTTCCAAGCCTGGCCGCGCTCGTAAGGGCCTGAGAGCCCGAGGCCTAGACTCTATCTTCCTGGCCTGCCTGGGCAGCCAGGCTAGGGGCTGGCCAGGGCAGCGTGGTCTAAGATTCCTCCTGAAATGCACGGATGCCGCTCTGGCTGGTTTTCTGCTCTCTGGGCTGCAGGCAAGTCTGAAGGTTCAAGCCTGCCCCTCTCCTTGACTGCCCATCTGCAAACTGATCACAGACAGTGGGCAAAGCTCCTGCATGGAGGAGCTGGTGGAGCTGTCCAAAGCTTGCTTGAGCTAGGAGGCCTGGCTGGGGTAGGAGGTCCCCAGGATCTAAGAAACTATGAGGAGCTGACAGCCCCTGGATGCTGGTGGCCTGGCCTGGAGGGGTACCAGTCTGGCTTAAGAGACATTTAGTGCAGGCTAGCTAGGACCTTTCCAGCCTCTTCCACGATTGGGAGCTATCCTGGAGTGAAGGGAAGAGACGTGGGATGCTGTTGCAGAGGTGGACTGGCCACTTGAATGTGGAGGAGGATCTGACCCCTCACCCCTGTGGGCAGGAACAAACAGGGCTGCCTCCAGGCATTGTAAGCATAGTTCCTGTCCAGGAGGGGCTGGGGACCCAAGACCAGGGCTGGGATGAGGGGTATTCAGTCCTTCTACTGATCTCCCTTCTCTACACCCTGTAGTAAAATATTGACTTTTAGTGTTTGTACACACCTTTTAATTTTAGCCTGCACTGTGCTTGCATTTTGCACTTATCCTATTTAAGGGCTGAAGAGCCGTTTATCTAGTGCAGTAGAGAAAATTCTAACCCAAGTTTCCAGTATGTACGAACATTGTATCTGAGTTCAATAAAGAAATGATGCAAAAGTCCTACCTGTAGAGATTTTCTGAGTCTTGGAGGACGCAATCACTTCCACTCTATGTCTAGTCTTGTGTTGGTTTCACTGTGAGAAGGAGGAGGTGACAGTGAAGAGGGAAAGCCACTGCTCGGGCAGTCTGTCGGGGGAGAAGATGCTATCACTTCACTGTCATCTTCCCTGTTACTATTGGTGAGAGAGTGCTAGCTTTTGTTCTATGCTCAAAAAGAATTAGAGATGTGGACGAAGAGAGGGGAGTAAAGCAGAGTTTATTAGGGAAGGAGAAAAGGCTTCCGATGCAATAGAAGGGGGGCCTAAATAGGTTGCTGAAGAGGGTCTGGAGGGGAGAGTTTTTCATCATTACTTTTTTTTCTTGAGAGATTTTTGTTATAGGGCATGTGTACTCACTGGAGAGTCAGAGTCAGAGAGACAGAAAGTAAGAAATCACCACCCAGGGAAATGGCCATGCTATAATCCCTTCTCCACTTGTCTCTCAGGATTTTGGGCATGCATACACATGCACCTGGCATGAGTCTCAAGCTGCCAGGTACAGGAGTCGAACTGAGGTTGGCCATATGGGAGTCCAGCAACATAACCATTATGTCATCTCCTAGTCCCTTATCTAGCGAATGGGCTGGCTTTCTGATAAGGAAGTAGGCTTTAGAAAATAGTTACATAATAGTATCAGTGATCTATGTGGGAGGGGCAGATGTAGTTCTTCTTAGAAAACAGTTACTAAATAGAAACTGTTGCCCTTAATTACAGTTGCTTGAGTCCCAAAGCAGCCAGCTTTGCCTATGAAAACTTAGCCACTGTGACTCCATCTTGGGTTTTTACCCTCTGAGTGCTCAGTATCTCTGTCTTCTGCCTTATTACCAAGGAGTCATGTAAAAGGGGCGTATATTGTACATGAAGCAGATCATAGAGGAAAAACAGAGACTTCCTTTTGGGGCCCTTACCCTGTCTGTAAGTGGGTCTAACTCCTATCTCACCACCACACACCATAGAGTGTTCTCTGAACTAGGCACTAGGGGCATAAAGTGAACAGTACTGCTTTCTTTTCTTTTCTTTCTTTCTTTTTTTTTTTTTTTAAGAGATTTTTGCTATAGGGCATGTGAGTTCTCCAGAGAGACAGTGACAGAGAAATTTCTCCTCTCCCCCGGGGGATGGCCAATCCTTTCTCCCTTCTCTCAGGATCTTGGGCACACTGCACAGGCACCTGGCATGAGTTTGAAGCCACCGGGTCTGGGACTCCAACCGTGGTCGACTAGGGTTCCCACTAGACTGACGTACAGGGAGGGTGGGCTCCAGAGCCAGGGTGGGGTAGTGGGTGTGCAGGAGTGGGCACCTGGAGATATCTGAGCCAAGCCTTCCTCGAAATTTGAGAGGCCAGGCGGCCACGGTAGCAGAAGTTAAGGAGGCTAGACCCCACATGACTGATCGCCTGATTGAGGCTCAGACCCCGCGGTTTGAAAATCACACGGGGCACGTACATTCGTGCCCAAAATTCCGTTGAGGAGAATGGAGAACGGACTGTAGCGTGGCCGTCCTCCCGTGGGGGTGATTTCTCACTTTCCCTGTGTCTCTCCTTAGAGCGCAGGCGCCCTGTGGCAATAACCTTAAGACAAACTCCCAACCACTAACACGCTAAAATACCAGGGCCCTCGGAGAATGGCTTCCGCGGGGACTGGGGCGAGGGGCGCAGTGGAGCAGACCGGCTGATGCTGCAATGGGCTGAAGCTGATCAGCTCTGATCGGCCCGGAGGGAACGGCGTCTCCTTACTCGTGTCGCGGGCGCTCGCGCAGCCGCGGCTTGGGAAGGACGGGGTCCCCGGTGCGCCGCTCCTCCAAAAGCCCTCCGCGATTGGCGCCGGAGGGGCGCGAGCGGAAACGGGTTTTCCTCCTGCTTGTGAGGGTGAGGGCCCCCCAGACATCTCGAGGGGGTGTGCAGGGTCGGGGGCAGCTCCCCGACTCCGGCCTCTGGAGGGCAGCGAGTCGCAGGAC